AATCGGCTTGCTGTAATTTAATTTTTACATTTTTTGATCTTTTTCGATCTTTTTCGTCGCGCTGTGATGACATCACATACGCGCTTTCGTCGACCGCGATTTTGTGGTCCGCGGTTTTGTGGTAGAACCGTAGAGTAGAATAGAATAGAATAGAATAGAATAGAGTAGAAGAGGTAGAATAGAATAATGGGCTGGAGAAGAGAAGGGAAGGAAAGGGAAGGGAAGAGAAGGGAATTCTTTATTGGCCAAGTATGATTGGACACAGAAAAAAAATTTCTTTGGTGCATATGCTCTCACTGTACATACAAGCGCACAGGCACACAAAGGCACGCACACACACTTATATGTAGGCAGTGTGCAACGCAACAGTTCTACTTCAACGAGGATTGGATATGAGTAGAGAAAGAGGGCAGGCAATTATTCCCTCAGTAATTAAGCCAAGTTTCATTGCTTAATTAACATGACTTTGTCCATATCTTTTGATTAACTTCACACTGGCCTGGATAACTGCCTCCTTTGGGAAATCTTTCTCTTCCCATCCTGTAGTCATCCTCCTCTGGCAGTTTTGGCCTAGCTTGCCAACTGGAGCACATTTGCTAATAATAGGGCCAAGCTATTTGTGGGACTGCCTATCTTCCCATCATTTTGGCTGGCCCCCTCTGGATCAAGCCGGGAGGCCATGCTCTTCCATCGCTCTTCCATCATGCCTTCCTCTCAGAAGCTGACATCCTGCCCTCCAGGAAGCAGGATGGCTCTGACCCTGTTAGCTTTCCATAAGGCTTTAACAGAGCACAAGAAACAGAGTTGGAAGGGACCTTGGAGGTCTTCTAGTCCAACCCCCGATCAAGCAAAAAACCTAGACCCTTTCAGGAAAATGTCTCTTCTTGAAAACCTCCAGTGATGGAACTCCCACAGCTTCTGGAGACAACTTCTGTTCCATTGGTTAATTATTCCAACTGTCAGGAAATTTCTCCTTAGTTCTCAGTTGCTTCTCTCCTTGGTTAGTTTCCCTTCATTATTTCTTGCCCAGCCTTCAGGTGCTTTGGAGAATACGTTGACCCCCTCTTCTTTGTGGCAGCCCCTTATATATCCGAACACTGCTATCATGCCACCTTGTTCTGACTCCCTCCTCCGTCCAGTAACTGACAGTTGAGAACAATCAACCAATGGAACAGATGTTGCCTTTGGAAGTTGTGGGAGCTTCATCACTTACTTTCAGGAAGGGATTGCACTGCCCTTTGTCAGAAATGGTGCTCGAGCAGGGGGTTGGACTAGATGACCTACAAGGTTCCTTCCAATTCTTTTAATCGGTTAAAATCTGTTAAATCTGCTGGTCGTCTTGGATTTTAGGTTTTGCAAAGCTCGTTTTGGGATTTTAACGCTGAAAGTGCAGGGGATTGTCCTTCAACAATATCTGGACAGCCAGAAACTTTCCTTGCAAGGACATGGGATTGTTGCCTTGCTGTGAAAACACTGATTATTGTAGGAGAAGAGAAGGCAGAAGTGAGAGGGCGGAGTGAAGTGAGTCATCACTTTAGAATTCTTACATTGCCACAAATGAACCAAGTCTTGTTTGGACAGATGAACAGACCTATTCAGGGTTGAAATCAGTTTTCTTTCTCCTCGTGACTTTTTGCAGGATGGAACGGGATGCCGAATTTGCCCAGAAGAAAGCTGAGCGTGCGACACTGCGGACTCACTTCCGTGACAAATACAAACTGCCCAAGGTATGGAGGGAGGCCTTCACGAGCCACAGTCTGGTTTCTTTAGGGAGATTCCCTCCACTGGGGCTCTCTGACCTTGGGAATTTTGAGACTTATGGACTCCAACTCCCAGAATTGGGAGGAATTCTGGCAATTGAAGTCCACAAGTCTTAAAGTTCCCAAGGTTGAAGAGACCCCCCCTGCTCTGATCCAACTGTACTATGGTGAAACTTCACCCTCAAAGTGAAGAAAGTCTGTTGCTTTATGCTACCGTAAGGGTGGCTCTCAGTGGCTAAGACGCTGAGCTTGTCGATCAGAAAGGTCGGCAGTTCGGCGGTTCGAATCCCTAGCGCCGGATAACAGAGTGAGCTCCCGTGACTTGTCCCAGCTTCTGCCAACCTAGCAGCTCGAAACCCCGTGAAAAATGCAACTGAGGGGACAGGGAAGTTGTGTTTATTTCTGTTTACTTATTTCTGCTTACGCGGTGGCTCAGTGGCTAAGACGCTGAGCGTGTTGATCAGAAAGGTCAGCAGTTCGGCAGTTCGAATCCCTAGCGCTGGATAACGGAGTGAGCTCCCGTGACTTGTCCCTGCTTCTGCCAACCTAGCAGCTCGAAACCACGTGAAAAATGCAAGTAGAAAAATAGGAACCACTTTTGGTGGGAAAGTAACAGCGTTCCGTGTGGCTTCGGGAGTTGAGTCATGCCGGCCACATGACCACGGAGACGTCTTCGGACAGTGCTGGCTCTTCGGCTTTGGAATGGAAATGAGCACCGCCCCCTAGAGTCAGGAACAATTGGCACATATGTGTGAGGGGGACCTTGACCTTTTATGCTACAGTAGAATAGGTTCCCAGAAGATATACATAGATGGTAATTCTCTCCCCGCTCCTCAGCCTACCTCCTTCCTCA